CATTTACCCGGTCGGGTATGCCCATTTACCCGGTCGGGTAAATGCCCCAGGGTGTTGAAAACACCTATAAATAGTCCCATTTTCCTTCACTTTTAATCACTCCTTCTTCCATACTCTTAAGCTCAACTTAGAATAGTATTTCTTTTATATTTTTATAGCATATGTAGTCTCCAAATGAGGAGCTAAACTTCCATTTCTTGGCGTTGCTCTTGAAGCTTGTTGATTATTAAAGTTGTGAGTTATTTTCTTAACTTCTTTCCTTGAATATTAATTCTTCCTTTAAATACTATTTCTATATCAATGTTGGGGAGTGTTACTAAGATGACAATTAGTTAACATCTTGACATCGGTCTTAGTAATAGCTATTCCTTCCTCTATGCTAATATTGGGGAGTGTTACTAAGATGACAATTAGTTAACATCTTGATATTAACTATAGTAGGATTCATTTTCTTTAATATTCTTCCTTGAGTATTAATTAATTCCTATTCATATTTCATATTAATATTTTGAACATTACTTAAAGGATCAACTAGTTTTGTTTCATATATTAATTATTACTAGAAACGATCAACGAACCGATGGTTAATCGTTGATGGTTTCACAAGTAAGTAACTTCGGTTTATTAATGCACGGTCGTGGTTAATAAACTTAAGAAGGATTAATTTTGTTGGTTAAACCGAAACCGTTGTGTTGAGGTTATCAATCTCAATTGATTTCATCAAGGAGTTAAGAGATTAAATGCTACTATCAAGTCGGTATATGGCGTTGTTCTATACTTGACTAATAGTAAGGGTTATTAATGAACGGTCGTTGTAAATAACTTTCCTCGATGAATTTGATATACTCCTCGATTGAGTATTCGAGAGGAAATAAGTTATAGATATAACAATGATCGACTAAAATATATCAACAAGTGGAAAGTAGCAATGCCAAGTCCTTTTTATCCTTGAATTAAATCACATATAACTCGTTCATCTTCGTGTTTAAATTTAATTAAATCACTCAATCCCAAAACCCCCCTTATTTAATAGTTTCATAAAAAGATAATTATTCTTTTCCATGTGGATACGAACTCTACTACGCTATACTACGTATATGTGTTAGTATTGAATTTATTTTGAGTGCACACACGACAAAGTGCACATCAAGCATTGACATGGAAATCGCAAACTTTGTTAATTGAACATCAAAACATTTTCATTGAGCATCAAACTTTCTTTTATTGAATTACAAATATAATCGTGTTCTTTTTATAATTAATGTTTACTCATGCACATTTATTTTACACTATACTAATTTTTGTATAAAAAAATTGAGTAATTAAAACACAATATATAATAAACTAATAATAAAGATATAAAATTAAAATAAAAAAAATAGAAAAATAAAAAATCAATACCTAAAACTTTTTATATTACACAAATTAAAAAAAAACTAAGTTAGAAAGTTGATTGGAAAAAGAGAAAATCTGGGACATTAAGTAATATTTTATATTATAGATTTTCATGATAATTTAATTTGAAATTAAAACAAAAAATTGTTAAAGAAAAAACAAAAACCTGAAAAGGAAGAACCGAAAGAAAACAAAAAGGTTGTTACCGAATAAAACAAAAGAAAACAAAGAACTGAAAACAAGGAGTAAGCAACGAGCGAACTGAATGCTAAGCAAATTAAACCGCCGGATGTACGTACCACCGGCGGTACGATATAATTGACCTCCATCCGCCTGCCCAATTGAGGCTGCTTCCATCCGCCTGCCCAATTGCCGCTGTTAGTGACGGTTTCGACGAAGAGAACGCCGCAGCAGACCAACGTCTTGGACGATGGACCACCGACCGTGGTGCCACTCCTTTGCTGGTAGGGTCGAAGTTGTTGCGTGACACATGGACCGGAGCTCCATCTCCCATCATAAGTTGCTGGTCAGACAACTATGGATCTCCGGCATGAAAGGCGCTGCCCTAAGAACGGGTGACAGGCGGTGGCTGGCGGCTGGACATTGGTACACGCGTGGGCGATGGATAGGTGACCATTAGGGTTGAAAATTAGCGGTAGGATGATGATTGGGTTTTATAATAATAATAACAAAAGGGCATATTAGTCATAACATTTCCAACAAGGTTATACTCTGTATTTCCTTTCAGATACATTAACTAGCCTCACGTTTCAATGCTATTACTTTTCAAAGTTTTGGTTATTTTCAAAGGCTACTTTTCAATTAACTAGGCGGGGCTTGTTATGGTTGAATGGGTCTGGTAAGTTGGACTTTGCAGGAGAGACGTGGGTTCGATTCCCCAACCAAGGATTTTGGGCGTATTATAGTTTTGGACAGCGGACATGTGGCATATTTGGGTGGAATACTAAATGGTATTGATTTACTTCATTAAAAATTTAAGATACTAAAATGCAACATTATTATTTACCAATAGTCTAAAATGCAACATTACCATTTGCCAATAGTTATGATAATTGATAATATCCATTTATTTAAAGTGAAAACTCCATAATTCAACATTCTGATTGATTCAAGTGGACTCTGATTGATTCAAGTGGACAAATGTATGATATCATAATTCACTTTTATTTAATCCAGAAATTGGGGGAGTCCAAAGTGAAAACATCGTAATTGTAGTCAACAGAATCCGTATTTTTCGATCTTTTCTTTGTGAGCAACTGTCAAAGTGGGGCACGGTTGTTGTGATGTGCTTACTTTCGGTCTCATCGATGTAGATGATGGTTAGATAAGATATAAAGATTGAAGCGATAAGATCGACTCCCAGCCAACTAAAGTGCGCTCTGTTCATTAGAGCCTTACATTTGGACCATAAAGCTTATTAATTGTTAGATGGTAGACGAGAAGGAAGAGGGAAGGAGAGATGGTTTGGTTACAGAGTCGGAATTTCTTCTGCCGAGTGGTATGGGGAGGGTGGTTAGATCAGACACCATCGTCCTCTCGAGGGATACGAAGGTGTACCGAAGCAGTTACGTAGTATCTGAGTGGGGGGGCCAAGAATGTACAGTCACTTACCTGACCTGCGGCAGCGGCGGCAGCGGCAGCGAGGATGGGGGCAGGATACGGGTGTACAAAGCAGCGAACACATCGAGTAGTGCGTTTTATGAATCTGGTGGCCGTTTATCTTGCCACTCATTCGTTTCCAAGACGTTTGATGCGCTGAAGGTTAGTTCCAACCCGGATTCCATCCAACGGATGAAGCAAGACTTGAGGCGGAACCTGCAAGCCCGGGCACACCGCTACCCAATTGACTTGATGAGGGTGGTCGAAAATTTCGTGGATGAAACCAGTGGCGAATTCTGCCTCGCCATCACCCCGTTTCCTGAACATGGCTCTATGAGGACCATCATGAAGCGGATGAATAGTGGCACGGGAGGGTTTCCCGAGGATCTCATCCTCTGTGCTTTGAGGACCGTTTTGAGAGGTCTGGCTCCTCTTCACAACCAAGGCATTTTACACTCAGACATCAACGCGGGCCGCCTTTACCTTGGCTATGATCGCACTCATGGCACCCCTGTAATAACCCTCGCCTTCGGAGCAGCAACTATTGACATTGTGGACCACAGCAATACATCTTCCTTTAATGCTTTGCCCTTAGCTTCCATGTCTCACTGGGCTGCTGCACCCGAAGTTTATGATTGCCCGTCGTCAGCAGCGGCCGACGTTTGGCTTGTGGGAATAACTGCTTTGGAATTGGCGTGTGGGGAAGCGCTCTTTAAAATTACGAACAGGGAAGCCCTGGAGGCCATCATCAAGCACATCCACCGCACACATCAACTCCCTTCCCCTACGCCTTCTCACAGCAACTCTAGTATTTTTCCCACATCATCATCAGATGCATTACATGATGATAATGCCGCATCACTGTCCTCTTCTGCACCCACATCTATTGATCATCAAACACACGGGAAGAAAGTGAATTCGGTGTTGAAGCATTTTGTTCGTACTCTGTTATTATCGGTACCCCGACCTGCTGCTGCACATTCCCCCGTTCCATTTTCAAAGAACTTCACGAAGATGGTCATTAAGTGCCTGGCTTGGGATCCCAAAAAGAGGCCAACTGTTGCTGCGCTTCTCTCCCAAAAATTCTTCAAAACTGAATTTCCCCAAGATGATTCCACATATTTCTACGATCATGTGAAGAACTACCTCACCTAAGGTGAGCTGTCGGCATCCGAAAATAAAGACTTACTACTACTCCCTCCGTCCCAATTTGATCCCAATTTGATGATCCCGTATTTCCTTTCTGGATCGTCCCAAATTGATAGTCTCATTTCCCTTTTTGGAAAGAAATATGTGGTCCACATCATTTCACCTTTTAAACTCAAATCTCAACCACAACTTTTACCTTTTCAACCACTTTCTTAATATTTGAGCTCAAAAGAAATAAGATCATCAAATTGGGACGGAGGGAGTACATGTTTACTTTATGGGTTAGTAAACGCTGTTTATTAAAACAGGTTTCACTAACCCGTTGTTCAATAAGCGGTGTTTATTAAATGTATGCTTTTTTCACGAGAATGATACATTTATTAAAATCTGATTAAACTTTAAAATGTTTCTTAGGATTTTACCTATCCTCACTACCCATTCCCACCCACCCGTAGCTCAGGATAGGGTTAGGAATGGGGTAGAAGGTAAGGCTGGCAGGGTGTAGTAAGACATAGTATGGGGTATGGGGAAGGGGTGAGGTAGGTTTAGGGATAGGGGTATGTGTGGGGTATAAAGTGGAAGGCAGATGGGGGCGTAGGGTGTGGGGTGTTTGCCTAGGGTAAAGGAGTAGGTATGGGTAATGGGTGAGGTAGCTAGAAGTAGGTATGGGTAATAGGTGAGGTAGCTAGGAGTAGGAGTAGGCAGTGCGGACAAGGGTGGGGTGGGGTAGGTAGGATGGGGGTTAGAGTGGGTTGGATAAGGAGGGGTTAGAGCGGGTTGGATAAGGTGGGGTTAGAATGGGTTAGATAGGGTAGGGGGTTGGGGTTATGGGTGTTGGGGTAGGTGCATAGATGCTCGTGCAATGTGAATATTTGTCAATACATTGATCCAAAAAAAGGTGGGGAGGTTAAATACATGAATCTCCCACTTAGGAGCCCCATAGGATGGTGAGGAGGTTAATCACGGTGACTCAGTCAGCAAAGTCGCAGTAGATCCATACACCCGTGCGCACCAGAGACTCAGTCTTATTTCAGGTTGTGTGACCTCCACTCGATCGTTGCGGAGATTCGAACCTTGGTTCATTGATCCAAATCTCCCACCACTTGACCAAGTGAGCTACCCATGTGGCCATGTGGGTGTATATTTGTGAATACAAAAATGCTTACTACACTTTTTTGGGGTTATGGGTGTTTGAGTGTTTTTCTTTTAGTTTTTTTTGGAAGATTTTTTTTTAAAAAGTTGATACGTGTATCCGTCAGGATACGAATATTCGAAATTTTAAAATAATTACCAAAAAATGAAAACTTTTGAAAATTGCATATACGGTCCGGGAACGTACGGTACGAGTATCCTAAAGTATCGGATACGGGAACATTTTCGATACGCCGATAAAACACCCTAGTGAAGTATCCGTGCTTCATAGCTAAGAACCATTGTATGACATAAAAGAAGTTTACTAAGAGCCCGTTTGGAGAACTCTGTTTTCGGCTTATCAGGCTTATCAGCCAGCTTTTTCACCAAACACGTAACTTTTACTTTCGCGCGCTGAATTGTGTAATAAGCCGAAAAAGTAAGGTTGGAGTTACTTTTCTGGCTGTATTGGCTGAAGTTACTGTAGAGGACCATTTTAGCTATTTTTACATATAATTTTTTCTTTAATTTATTAATAAAATATATTTTTAAAATATTTTTTTCTTAAATCAGCAGAATCAGCCAAAACAGCCACTCCAGCCAGAATATCATAAATTTCAGCAGAATCAGCCAAAACAGCCGATTTTGGTGCTACCAAACGGGCTCTAAGTAGACATTTATCTAAAAAAGTTGTTTACTTAACTTTTGTTAATAAGTTGACAGTAAAACTAAGAGGTGAACATCTAATCTAAAAACATTATAATTGTGAATGTGAGTTAGTATCCTTGAATTATGTCCATCTATTATAAAGCATATGAGGTTGTACACTTTTATTAAATCATTGTACTTATTTTTTCAATGGATTTTAAATACCCCTTGTCCGTTAACTTTAAGAAGCGCCGTTTAATTCGTGGGTAGAGTTAAACAATGTCTAACTCGTCTGCAACGATCATTCATAAACAGGAGGTAAAGTTTATTGAATTATTGATGAGCAATTAATATTTAGTCCTTTCACGTTAAAAAAAAATAGTCCTTTCAATGTCATTTAAATATTTTTTTATTCTAATTATCGTGATTTTGTTTTTGAGAGTTGTAGTGATTTACCTAATCCAATTCTCCAATTCCAAAATCAAATTATCTACATGTATTTGAAAGGTTGACTAAACATAAAGCAATACTCCCTATAACACACATACACGTTTTTAGAAAATGGGAACTTCTTAAGCTCGTTGGTAACACTAAAATTTGTTGAAACGAACGATCCTGCTAAAATTTATGAAGTTCTTTTTTTTGTTTAGGAACAAAATTTTATGAAGTTCTAGCTAAAGTGGTTGGATTGACATATTTTGTTGATTTAAGAAAAAATTATATTTTTAAAAATATTTTATGAGTAAAATAAAGAAACAAAATATGAGAAATAGCTAAAATCGTCATTTATTATATTAACTTCAACCATAAAAGAAATTTCTACTTAACTTATTCTGAATTTGACATAATTCAACGCGCGAAATAAAAAATTATGTGTATGATGAAAAAGTTGACTGATAAGGGTGATAAGCCAAAAAATAAGATCACCAAATGAGCTCTTTATGTTTGAGCAAAGTGCCACATTGTTAGCAGCTTATAATTATCTAATTTTCCACTACATAATTATGTGCTCGTTCTAATTTACTTGATGAGAATGATTATTCTTTTACACCTTTATGTGTTTGCTTTCATAATCCTCGTACTGGATAATTATAGTGCATTATTTTTTATATGCTTCTTTTTCGAAGTATCATTAATCTTATGTGATTAATGCTTTTATAAGCATTTTATTTAGTCTCTCATGCTTTGCTTTTTAGTCAACAAAGAAGTCAATTTCTTAATTAAACATGAACCTATTATTGAGTCATATATCAAGTACTAGCGATTACTCGCACAAGGCGCGAGAGTGTTTGCGCAATATTAAAATAGTGTTTTCTTTTATAAAAAAGTGTTATATTCAAACTGTTATGAGAGTTTTGTAAATAGTTAATGAAATTTTACATATCATATACAGTATTACGTATATTTTAAAAGTTGTCAGAATAATTATATTCCATGTCAATCAATTATTGTGTGGAAAATATGGTTCATCATTAATCAATATTTTAGAAATACATTAAGAATTTTGAGATAAATATAATCCAAATGCATATAGTTGTGCACAAACCAGTTTTATGAGCAATAAATATTTCACATTCCTTACAAGGTTGTAATAATATGTGTTCGAAGTAATAAAAGATTACATTTAAGTCATGTATTTAGCTATGTAACATCAACCTTTGATAGAAAAAATTGTGTATGTTAGTACACAGGTGAAACATTTCTTATATTGAACTATACAAAAATGATCCTGTCCGAACGTTCGGACAGGATCCTCCGTCCGAACATCCCCGTTTGGGGTCCTTCCCGGTGGAATTTTTTGATGAAATGTTTTGACCGTGTTCCTAATCAAGTCTAGTTTGTCCATACCAAATTTCAGCTCAAAATTCGATCTGGAAGACATTCAAATAATTTTTTGAAGTTGACTGCGTTTTTATATGTATATTTTGACGCAGTCAACTTCCAAAAATGATTTGAATGCCTTCCCGATCGAATTTTTAGCTGAAATTTGGTATGGACAAACTAGACTTGATGAGGAATATTCTCAAAAAATTTCATCAAAAAATTCCACCGGGAAGGGCCCCAAACGTCCATGTTCGGACGGTGTTCGGACCAGGAATGTTCAGACCTGAACATTCCTCTTGAACTATACTCCGTAATTGTAACAATATATTCAGGGGCGTGGTTAGGGAGGGGCCAACCCTGGCCCTGGCCCAACCCAAATTTAAAAAACGTCTGTATTTTTAGTGTAAAATATTCCGTATAAAAATGTTCTAAAAAAAATCTCTGTACCGGTTCAATCTTGCCCAGTGTCTTGGCTCGAATATATTTTTTCCAAAAATAACTATAATTATAAGTATGACTAGATAGGCGGGTGTTAAATGAACGGATAATTGTAAGTATGGCCTGATGGCTATATAGCTCCTAATGCCACCTTTTATATATAGGTGTTACTAATGCATGGCCACATAGGCATGGGCTTCGCCGTTTAGGAACCAAGTATAGCTAGTTAATGTTAAATGAGATAGATAAGACATAAAATTGAGTTAACGGGAGTTAATTGAAACTAACGGGACCGTAAGGATAAAGTAGCCAAATGAAAAAATAGGGTTCTACCTTCTATTAACAATGTACAACATCTTATGCACTAAGTGTGTTGACACAATTCAGGGGTACCAACCCCCATTCATAATTATATTGTTGTTAGATGTTAGATAATCAAAATGTTTTTAATCTTACAGTATTATTTTGAGAATGTTTTTAAATTTAGTTTCTTGAAGTGTGAAATTTAATCTTACATAGTAATGTGGCCAATACACGAGGGAGACACATTTATTAAGAAAAATGAGTTTATGTGGTTGATATTGAATTGATAAAGTAAGAATAAAGTAAAAAAGATTGATAGCTACACAAATTTTATCAAATTTGGTATGAGACAATTTTAGTGGATTTTTTCAAAAAAAAATATGAGACAATCTTAGCAGCACAGAAGGAGTATATAATAATTTACATTAAAAAAACTACTCTGGCTACAATTGTTTCATGCCATACGCTCATCAAAATCTCATACATAATAGGACTTCTCTTACATTAGTAGAGTAGCTACTTATTGGAGGAAATTTTACTTTAGCATTGGGCATATGATATCGCGCAATCGCTAGTGTTCTTAATATTTGTTAAATTAACCTCTTTTTCCTCTATCCGTTCTTTTTCTTTACTTTATTTTTAAACTAGTATAGTAATCGTGTATACGTATAACATATTCTTGTGTTTATGTTCTGTTTAAAAGTAAAAATAAATTAAATTTGAAAATGTCACATTGTTGAAAAAAGTGAGTACAATAAATTGTACCATAAAGTGTAAGTAAAGAGAATAAATATTAGAATAAATATTAAAAGTAAAAGAATACATGCATAGTATTCGTTAAGAATAAGTGGCATCATCAATTAGAATTTGCTACTTGATGTTTTTACTTGGACGGTAGTTCTAGATCGAATCAGACCATATCAGATCGACAGATCAGATCCGACTAGACTTGGATAGTTATAAAGTTCACAAAAAATCTCATTTTTAGTGAAAAAATGTGTTTAGTTTTAACCATTTCTTTATATGTATGATCATAGAGTGAGAGAATCTTGGGCTGTTATCTCGTTTCACGCCATTATTATCAAGAGGATCGGCTAAATCCCTCAAATTTAGAAAATCCTCCATCCGAGACTTCCACATATTGTAATTTGTAGAAGTGAGTGCAATCATGGTGTCCGATGATGATTTATCCATAACAAAACACTCAAAATATCTCGTACCTTATTTTCGGAGCCGAATTTGGACAAACAGAGCTCACCGTTGGATCCAGAATGGCCGAAAATGGTAGGAAGCGGTCTAACCTCGTCCAAAACCGGTCTGGAAATGGGTGAACTGGCCTCGCTGACGACGAACCAGTTCGGTCCGGTTCAGGCAGCAGCCCAACCTGCAGCCCAGCAGGCGGATGACGTGGCTCTGCTCCCTCGCTGACGTGGTTCACAGCGGACGACTCGGGTGGATGACGTGGCAGCTGACTCGGCACGACGTGGCGATGACGTGGCCCAACGTGGCGATGACGTGGCAGCTGACATGGATCATCTTCTTCCTCTGGACTGCGTGATGACGCAGGCAGTTTTCAGGCGGCGTTTGGGCGGCGCGTACGGCCTCTTCCGGTGGCCAAAAAGATCCCCAAAAATACCAAATTTCTCGTCTCGACGAGACGAATCTAACGGTATGATCAGATCGTGATTCCGAGCAACTTCAAAAATCACGATTTTCTAACCTGTAGAAATTTATCTGAAAATGAGAAAACAGTGTATGGAAACTCAACCTCGCTCTGATACCACTTGTTGGGATTGGAAAATTCTTCTATTCAATATCAAGAACAGAATTACAATAGGAGAAGCAAACTCTCACACTCTACTATTACAAAAAAACCAATCCTCACCAATACACTTCTACTCTAAGTGTATTTCACTTTTCACACACTTTTCTCACTTTCTAAAACTGATGATAATGAACAATATGGAGCACTCAATTTATAGGGCTGATTTGGAGACAAAAGGTAATGCTTCCATCTTCCATGAAGGTGTGAGATGCCTCTTGACAACTTCCAAGAAAGAGGGTGGAAACTCCCTACACTTCATCTGTTTGATATTCGTCACCGGTGCTAAGAAAATCCCAGGTACAGTTTCGGACCCTAGTATCATGTTTATTGATTTTTACAAATCTGAATATGTGTGAAAGGAAGAGGACCCTGTACGTGTGTGTATTATACGTAGTATGTGTTATTGAGGCTTCAATGGCTAGATAACACAGTGTGTAGCGGGTTCCGAGTTTGAATAGGATACAATAACTTACTTAATACTTTAAAGTAAATTTAATAGAACTACTACGTGCATTTAACTAAATAAAATTAACGTTATTTAGAAGAAAAAATTAAGTATTTCAATTTGAAATGCAAATCGACTTGGAGGAATTCTTTTAATCTATTCAAGAATTTCTATTTTGAATAGTACTTGTTGTTATATATCCTATCATATGGAATGTTTTTCAATTTTTTGTGAAAAATGCACACAGAAACAACCACCCAAAATTGAAGGTTTTGTTGAATTTGTGGAAGTTTAATTTTTAAATAAATAGACCTATTTTCTTTTTAAGCTATGTCCAGTTAAAAATTCTCAGGATAACAATGGAAACAAAGAACTAAACCTTGGACGATTGTAGGTTTGTTTTTCTGGTCAGGCGTCCTAATTCACAAATTTCTGTACCCACTAAGCTATTATGGCTGAAGAAGCATCTCAACAGTAAACATTTTTATAAATATATGTTTGATGACTCACATGTAATGGATGCCAGAGATCCTGGATTTATCTCATCATTTCTTAGTTGACTCACATGTAATGTAGTTGACGACATATGTATATGTTGTTAAATTAGATAGTTGCAATTTTCAGGAAGAAAGAAGGGCAAATGAGAGAACCATTAAGACACAACATTGAATACATGTATGAATTGAAGCTCAAAATACCCCAGTTTTTTTGTATGATGTTGATGTGCTGTTTATTACTTCATTCAAAATGCCCATCTCTATAGATCTTGATCTAGTAATCCTTTGATTGTGTTTATGCAGCTGGAGAAATATTCAACTTTTTGTTGTATATTTCATCCACCCGGCTCAACTATTTCCTTCTCTGCTTAGATCCAAAAATATGGCCTTCCACTTCTGCTTCCTAAGAAGTACTTCGTATATTGAACACTTGTGCTCTTGCACTTCTGTTATCTAATTTCTATTTATGTATTCAAAATAAAGGCATATTTTGATGATATTCTTCTTCATTTACAGGCTCAAAAGTGAAAGAAATATAGAGAAGAAATATAAGGATCGATTTTGAGTGGTTTTCTATTGGAAATTTTGGAATGATTTCCCTGATATTTATAGGGAAATAATGATGAGCTGTTTTTTTTTTCTTTTTTTATATTTTTTAATTTTAATTTTTTCATACAAATTTTGTGTACACCTTTTCGAAGGAAGAGTGTGATGGGATTTAAATGCACGCCTCTTTTACTTTTTATCTTCAATCAATGATCGTCCTGTAGTCAAAATACTGTTCCTATTTGAGTAGATTTTAAGCTTCATACTATTTGAAAAACGTGACAACTCCGGTACCCATTTAAAAAATGGGGTACCGTACCTACCATTCACTTGATTGGCCCACATCATGATATCATTTTTAATTTTGATATAGAAATTCAACTGCAACATTCTCATTGGTCCATGTGGACAAATGTACGGTACCTTATGGGTACCATAGAATCTATCTTTGAAAAATCTGATTTTGATACATCGGGGATTGTGTTCAATGTAACTGCCGTGAACTTCTTTATTGTGAAGATTTTATCATTATTTTTTCTTTTTTAGCTTGCACTATGTGTTTAATGTTGACATTTTTCAGCGGGAATACTGTTCCAAAACTTCTTTTGCTTTTATATATTAATAGATTCACATCATATGCGTGGTATACTATATTAACAGACACCCTTGTATTAAAATGTCACTTTGTACACATTTTAAAATTTTATCTCATTTATAAATTAACTTCTTTTTTTCAATAAAATTTTCGGAGTATCACATTCTACCCCCTTAAAAATATGCTTCGTCCCCGAAGCATACAACTTACTCAAGGAAAATAATTATTTATTGAAGACCAAAGAAAATAATTATTTATCTCATACAGATTTACTAGTATAGATAACTAAAATTTTGATTATATAATTCTGCTTGTTATTCTCATGTTCCTCCGTTGTGGTTGGCATTCCTTCAGTGATGATTGACCTCACGACTTAAAGGCCGGTATTACCTTCTTTCTAGAACGACACTCGAACACCCGATGACCTAGCTTGCCATAGTGAAAACATCGCGCGAGTGTTCCGTCACATTATTTCCCAGGATGATCCTTTCCACATTTCGTGCAATAGAAGTGTGCGGTATAAGCGGAATAGTTCTTCTTACGCTTTTGGTCGTGACCTTGAATTGGTTGTTGATCTTGTTCCTATTCCCGGTCTCCTTCAGATAATTTGGCCTCAGTCGTTTGTCTCTCCGTTTGCTTTCTTCTTCGGTGCCCTTTCTCGCTTTCTTAAGTGTTTCCTTCTAGAGCTGTTTCACTCGATAATGCTTGGTAGCTTTGTTGTAGGCCTCATTCAGAGTTTGGCATTCTGTAACGCAAAGAGCTTTTTATGTCTCGAAGTTCAGACCGCGTATAAACTTGTTTGTTTTCTCGATTTCATCGGGAACTAGAGCGGGTGCAAATCGTGCGAGCTCCAAGAATTTGGCGTGGTACTCTTGAACGGTCATACCCACTTGCTTCAGATGTAAGAATTCTTCGTACTTCTCGGCTCTCATGTGCTCCGGGTAGAATCTTTCTCGCATTGCCTTCTTAAACGTCTCCTAGGAAAAGTCAAGTTGTTGACGCAACGTTGGGCCCGTCATGGCCCACCAATTGTCCGCCTCTTGACGTAGGTTGTATGCAGACATATCAACTTGTTGATCCGCGGGGCAATTCATAGACTCGAAGAGTTTGTTGAAAGTGCGAATCCAACCCTCAAGGATGCGAGGATCTTCTTGGCCTATATAAATCGGGGGATTGCGCTTCGCTATAAGTTTCGCTATATCATTGCACTTGTTGAGACGTTGTTGGTGTTGATTTTGGAGTAGCACATTCGCGTCAGTCTGGATGAGTTGAGTAAGTTGAACCATATTCTGAGCCAACTCCGCATTCGTTGGTGTAGTATCATTGTTCTCGATGTTGTTACTCATGGACGTCATTATCTACTTGAAAAGGATAGAGTATAAGCAATCTATCGAATGGTTTTCATAAGTATATTGCCTTATCCAATAACTCACTAATCACATAATGTCTAAGTCCAAACTTGTCCTCAAACAAACATATATGCATATGCATGTCACAATTAAACATACCTCAAGAAGATCAAAAGAACCACAAACTCAACCTAAATAAAAAAAATAAAGTCTCACAACCTCACCACGCGCCTAAAATTTTTATTTAGTCCTAGAAGTTCTTACTTATTCGCTAATAATTTATTCTCCTATTATTTTAGAAAAACATCTTGGAAAAAATCCTTCGAAAAAAAAACATTAGAAAACTTTTTGAAAAATTAGTTAGAAACTGTTTTTTTGGAAAAACGTTTTTGAAAATTCCCCAAGAAAAACCATAAGCTCTGATACCACTTGTAACACCCCGGACCATATCATTTGAACACTTTCAAACAAATAGATGCTAAATAATTGAAAACAGATTATAAATTTTATTCCAAATTACTTCCTCATTCTCACCAACAGTAACTCCACCTCTACTCCATTTCCACTCCCTCCTTCATCATCTCTTTCTTTGGAATCATTTAGTTCAACCTTCTCCACATCCTCTTCAAATATCACTGGGGCATCCCAGTATCCCATCCTGAAGCCGCCAGTCTCTATTTCTAACGACTCTTGCTCTCTCAGAAGTTTTCCAGTCCACCCTCTTAGCACAGGTAAAGTCCTATCAAGTTTTCTGTGGTACAAAACCATCCTGTCCACATAGAATAACTGCACAACACTATATTATTATTACAGTTTACTAGATAAGAATAACTAAATAGTTGAAAACACAATAATTGTAGTTGTTAAACTTACTGTTAGAAATAGCAATGGACCAATGAATGCCTTGTCCTTCTTTTTCTCCCATGAAACCTTGCTACCGATTCGACAATTTAGAACATGGTCACACCAGTCTATCTCCTTGATTTTTTCAACCTCATTCAAGTGACTAACAACCATTGGATTGACATATCCATTTTGCGTGCTATCGAGAAACAGTGACACCACAAGAACAATAAAGTGCCCAGAAAACCACTCACCACCTTCTTTATGGCTAAGCATTTTCGTACTGACATTGGATGGGCTGATTTTGTATTCATCCTTATCAAATATGGCTTTCCACTCTTCAAGCAATGCACATTCCTCGTTCTTTTATTTTGGTACTATTTTTCTGCCTCCTAATGAAAATCCCAAAACGCGGGCTACATCCTCTTCTTTTACACGCAACTCACTTCCATTATACAGCACCAATGAGCATGTCTTGGGGTTGAAGTTATCAACCACCCAAAATCCCAACCTTCCTGGTATTTCACATACTTGCATATCAAACAGCGCACCAAAACCCATCTTGTGTATCTCCTTCTTTTGTGCAACAGTCATCAGAGCCAGAGCTTTAACAATCATGTTGGGTGATGATCTTGTTCTTATTGTCCTAAACCTGGCCTTGACATCTTTAATGCTCTCTTTCTTATTTTTGTTGCTCTCATTTTCCACTAAGTCAATTGCAGCTCCACCTTGCCCAGGTTGCACTTCAAAATCATCATCGCTTTCGTTTTCATCTACTACTTTCCTCTGCCTCTTCACCCTGCAGGCTTGGTTCTGAGGTGCATCTTTGATAGCGGGTCGCTTACCTTTTTTGTTCTTCACCACCTGTAAGGTTTTGTCTGTACTCCCTGTAATATGGAAAAACAATGCATATTACTCCGGTTGTATGTAATACATATTATTATCATCAAATTACTAAATACCTGATGCACAATATCATTGCATTTATGAACATATTACTTTCACTTCATGCACATTCCAAACTCCACATTAAAATTAAAACCTTCAATAATGATGTAAGCAGTTTATTGACTGTTAACTAATTTCCAAACATTATAGATTTGCTGCACTTATGAACTAAATTTCATTCACATTCTCACATTCACATAACAATAATATGAATACATACCAATATAACAAAACACATTTAAACTGTGCACTGTATGCCTTTTCTATCACACAATCAAGCCTTTTAATCACCCAAATTATGCATTCAAATAAAAATGGATGCACTTTAATCGAAATTCATCTTTAGGATAGAGCAAATTGTGTTCCTCACATATACAAACAGTTCTTGCACTATATCATTATATGTATGAACCTATTAACTACTCTTTCAACACATTCCAATAAAACGCATCCTTATCAAAAATCATCATTCATATACACAATTAATTGGCTATTTCAATTTTTGATGAACTGGCTTCTACACCTTCATGCACATTCACAAACCAATACTATGAAATCTTACCAAAATAAAAACCCACAAGTTCGCTATGCACTCTACACCTTTTAAATCACTCAATCATGACTCTTCAGTACCCTTTTCCCATTATTTCTCTATTTTTCATTCATTGTCGCAGCAGAACATACTACCCATATGCACAAATAAATAAACAAATCTCACTTTCTATTGTTTTTCATGATAAATGCTTCACAAACTTCATCAAAATCGTTTTCTTTAGACATGCATTGAATCCACAACATGAACTTGTTAATCCAACAAAATTATTCACAAAATCACCGCAGGTAATCGGCGTACCTGAAGCACATTTTGCACTCCCTGATGCAACGTCGTTTTCGTTCGTCGTTGTCATCCTTCTTCTTCCACGGCTTCCTAGGGTCTTGATGCTAGTGGACGCCTTCCCGGTTGAGTTCGTCGAGCTCTGTTAGTTTCTGAGTAGAATTCTGCGCAATGAAGGAAGTTTCTTTTTTCGAATATACAGGCACATTAAACAGGATTTCTTGCCATATGGGAACTCGTGCGGCCCAACCACCATAATTAAGCACCATAGTCTATTACCCATTTACCCTTTCATGGCCTTCTAAATGCCCATTTCGGTTTTTTTAATCTGGCACGGAGGCATCATGTGCTTTTTTAATTCCTAAAATTGATTATCCCAGCCGCACGATTGACAAATTGGATGGTCGGATCTGGTTCTTTTTTACTCTCCTAAGAGGGTGCTCTCATAGGAACTGGACCCTATATAGATTTATTCATATAAGTATGTGTGTACAAATAAAAAAATTGTACGGAGAACTAAAAGAAATAATTGCATAAATATGACCAAAATAAAGATGGTTTACAAAAATATGATTAGTTACTAGAGTAGTAATGAAATCATAGTAATTCATGTTCAAGTTTTAAACTTTAGTTACCACATCACTACGTTATAGTAATGAATAGTCATATTTATGTAAATAAGTTTTATTGTAGTAATATTCTTGTAAAAAACCCGAACTAAAATAATCCGTAAGGATATTTTTATATCCTTAAACAAACTAGACCAAATTAGATTATACTTAAATCACGGGAGGATAAGGTGCATATTGTCCACTAAGGTTTAAATGAAGAAGCACATTAGACACTAAGGTTATTTTAGGAGCAAATAAGTCAATATTTAATTTTTGGTGAAATTCATATAAATAATCCCTACTTTTCCACGTTCTACACCAATAATCTGTATTAAACAAATTGATATAAATAATCTGTACTCATGAACCTATTCACAAAAATAGGCAAAAGTAAACGGGACTAAACGGCTCTGTTATAACCTCACTCATGTCGCCGTTGCCAACTCCATCTTTGCGTAGTAGCTTCTTCTTCCAAGTCGTCATCAAAATGACCATTTGTAATTTTAGTAAAAATATTAACATCAAGTCCAATATCAAAATACTTCGTATATCCAAATTAACCATCAATTGCGATCATGACATGATTTAACCTTTGGAGACATTAACATCTGGATCTGGGTCAACGAACAACGAAGATTACTCTTTATGGCAGGTATAATTAGTAAAAAAGGATCAAAATTTCCTCTGCAGAAATCTTCTACTACGGTATGTTACTAGAGAGAGTGAAAAATTTCAAAATCTTCTCCGTTTTTCTGGATATCACATAAAAACAATTCTAAAATTAAATCGATTTAACCCTAACACTTAATTATAATCCATTTATTGTGAAAATTAGAGGTGGGCAAAAATACCGAACCGGCATGATACCGAACCGGACCGGTATGGTAGCGGACCGATAAACGAGGTTTGAAACGGATCTCAAATTTTTTTGTCCCGAACCGGTTCCAAACAATGCCATGATCGGTTCTCATAAAATGAGAACCGGTACCGGACCGAACCGAACCGAAGTATGGTTTATTAAATTTGTACTACTATAGTTCATCTAAAATATATTAATTACCTCATCCGTCCCAAATTGATTTGCAAAGCCAATTTTTTTTGTCAAAGTTAATGTTAAGTTCTTGAAAATTAATACAATTTTTAATAATTAAAATTTACATATTTAGAAACCACATTAAAATCTCTCTAAAGTTGCAAAATTCAAATTAAAATATACGAAGTACGGAGTAGTTTTTTTGAAAGGCCAAATAAGAATATAATTAAAAAGTGAAATTCTAATTAAGTGAATAAAAAGAAATTGTTTGACCAAAAAAAGATTGACTTTGCAAATCAATTTGGAACGAAGGTAGTACGTATGATATATGAAAATTGATAAATTGTGTGGATTTTTGGAGGATGGCTAAACTTTAATTTTTTTCTTAAACACCTGGAAAAAGTGGCATTGTTTGGTATTGGTATGGCATGGTACCGTCCCGTTTTAAAATGGACCGTACCGAATGGGTTTGGGTCTAAGACCGAACCGTACCAAACCGTTTCAATAGTAACGGTACGGGTACGGGTTCGGCCAAATATTGGATCGGACCGGACTGTGCCCACCCCTAGTGAAAATAAGCTCAAATCATTACTTCATTGATTACCCAAAGAGTTTCACCGAACCGTTTCTTGTAAGGTATTTATAAAATGAGAAATACCCCCCACCCCGACTATTTCATTTCAATTATGTGTTTGGTGGTCCGGGATAAGTAATGAAGTGGGTTGATTAAGGAGTTAAGATGTCAGGGAGAAAGGATTGTTTAAGAACAGAGATAGAAGAAGCATAAGGTCATTAAGATGTTCCTTTGTTAAACAGAGGGGAGAATGAAGCGCAATTTGGGTGGCACTAGCACACAAGAAAGGAAATCGTGGAGGGAAGTGGGATAAGGGTGAGGGAGTAAACGGAACCGTCATCCCCGTATCATTTAATCTATTTTTGTGAATATGTTTATTTGTTTGGATTATTTTGATTCATTAGATCAGTACGGATTATTGTTGTAGAATCGATAAAAGTATGGATTATTAGTATGAATTTCGCCAATAATCTATTTTTGGGGCATAACACCCACCCACTCACAGATATAATCGACTCCGTTTACTTGCACCGGCTTCTTTAATAGGGAGTACTTCAATGTTTATTGATTCGGAGTATGAGATTAACTTTACTCCAATAAAAAAAATATTTAGATTTCTAATTCTTTTTCCATTTTGTTTTTCTCCCGATTTTTCTTCCATGTATTCATAATTATTTCATATTGATTTCTTAATACCTGATGTATGTCAACATGTATTTTTCGACTATATGCATATTAGTATAATCGTACTTATGTATACATATATACGTTTTATATAAACATAGAGAAATGTTTTAATATAAAGTACTCTTTCGTATGAAACTGAGAAATAATTTTAGCCATTAAAATGAGAAAATAAGTTAATCGGATAAGTGCTAAATATGGTGATAAAAAGTGTAAATATTAGCAACTTTTTTTACAAATAAAATGCTAAATGTTCATCACTATATAGGAAAAGTGCGGGCATTTGAATAACACAAAAGTGAATCGCTTTTTGAAATACACTAACAAATGTGAACGGACAAAGAATATTTTGGAAAATGTTTTTTACACGAATGTTTTTAAATTTGGAGTGGATTAGGACCTAGATTGGCCCTCTCTAGCCCCGCCTTTGTCGGTCGCTAACACATATTGGGACCCAAAAATATTGTAGCTGCTAATGATATTGTGGCCATATTCTCTTCGCTAAAATAAAATTATACTACGTATTTAATTTGAGTGTACTAGCTTATGTATGAGAAACTATAAAATAATATATTTGACTAGCTATCAATAAAATCTAGTCAAATAATAAAACAATATTTTATTATTTTACATCGTAATACATGTAACAATATTGGTCCTAATACAAATATGTAGTGAAAGGAAAAATTAATTTAAAGTATGGTATTCTGTGTTTTTTAGAGTAAGTGTATTATGTGGATTGTTTCTTTAACACAATAGAATTAAATAATAGTGCAAATTTGGATGGAGCTAAGCCGTGGGCAAGGAGCAAGCCAAAAATGAAATTTAAGCTTTTGTATCTCATCTCATACTACAATCAGTATGAAATTAAAGTATAGCAAGGTGCAAATTTTGGATTAAAGTTAAATCTCATAATCCCTATCAATAAACATAAAGTACTCCGTATTAAAGAAGCCGGTGAAACTATGGTGAAAGCAAACAGGGTTATTACATCCGTGAGTGGGTGGGTGTTATGCACTCAAAAGCTAAAGGGGTAATTTGAGTTTGCACCTCATTTTATTGTCTAAATTGGACTTTGCACCCCGTTTTTAAAAACCTTTGTATTTGCACCCCAACCCCTTGTGAAAAGACAAAAATGCCCTTAGATAAGGAATATCTTGAAGACCAACAAAATTGTTAATGAGGTGCATTTTTGTCTTTTCACAAGGGGTGGGGGGTGCAAATACAAAATTTTATAAAAACATTGTGCAAAGTCAAATTTAGACAATAAAATGGGATGCAAACTCAAATAACCCCAAAGCTAAAATATTGACTTATTTGCTCTTAAAATAACCTTAGTGTCTAATGTGGTCTTTTATCTAAAACCTTAGGGGGCAATATGCCCCTTCTCCCCATAAATCACAAATTAGCGTCCAAATTAAAATATCCTAAATCTATTAACAGAATCCGTAGCTTTCGATCTTTTCTATGTGAGCGAACTGTCAAAGTGAGGCACGGCTGTTGTGATGTACTTACTCTGATACTCTCGGTCTCATCGATCTATTTTAGATAAGATATGAAGATTGAAGCGATAAGGTTTTGAAGATCGACTCCCAGCCAACTAAAGTGCGGTCTTCTGTTTTTTTTTTTTTTGGATGAAGGTGCGGTCTTCTGTTGATATAAGGAATTTCAATCTCTACTCCGCTCTGTTTCCAGGTTCATTAGAATTTTGCTTTTTAATTGTTAGATGGTAGACGGGAAGGAAGAGGGCAGGAGAGATGGTTTGGTTACAGAGTTTGAATTTCTTCTGCCGAATGGTATGGGGAGGGTGGTTAGATCAGACACCATCGTCCTCTCCAGGGATACAAATCATCACCCGACGAAGGTGTACCGAAATAGTTTCCTAAAATCCGTGTATGGCCGCCAAGAGCTTACATTCACTTTCCTGACCTGCGGCAGTGGCGGCAGCAGCAGTGAGGATGAGGGCAGGATACTGGTGTACAAAGCAGCGAACACAGGAAGTAATGAGTTATATGGATTTGGTGGCTTTATATCTTGCCACTCATCCGTTTCCAAGACCTTTTTTGCGCTGAAGGTTACTTCCAACCCAAATTCCATCCGACTACTGACGCGGGACTTGAGGCAGAACCTGCAAGTCCAGGCGGCGGACCCCTACCCAACTCACTTGATGAGGGCGATCCAAAATTTCGTGGATGAAAGCAGCGGCGAATTCTGCATTGCCATCACCCCATTTCCTGAACATGGCTCTATGAGGACCATCATGAAGCGGATGAATGGTGGCACGGGAGGGTTTCCCGAGGATCTCATCCTCTGTGCTTTGAGAACCGTTTTGCGAGGTCTGGCTCCTCTTCACGACCAAGGCATTTTACACACAGACATCAACGCGGGCCGCCTTTATCTTGGCTATGATCACACCCTGGGCACCCCTGCAATATCCCTCGCCTTCAGAGCAGCAACTATTGACATTGTGGACGACGACAATAGGACGACGACATCTTCATTCAATGGTCTAAATTATTTGCCCATGGCTTCCATGTCTCACTGGGCTGCTGCACCCGAAGTTTATTATTGCCCGGCCTCAGCAGCGGCTGATGTTTGGCTTGTGGGAATAACTGCTTTGGAATTGGCATGTGGGGAAGCGCTCTTTAAAATTGCAAATAGGGAAGCCCTGGAGGCCATCATCAAGCACATCCACCGCACACATCAACTCCCTTCCCCTACGCCTTCTCACAGCAACGCTAGTATTTTTCCCACATCATCATCAGATGCATTACATGATGATAATGCCGCATCACTGTCCTCTCCTGCACCCACATCTATTGATCATCAAACACACGGGAAGAAAGTGAATTCGGTGTTGAAGCATTTTGTTCGTACTCTGTTATTATCGGTACCCCGACCTGCTGCTGCACATTCCCCCGTTCCATTTTCAAAGAACTTCACGAAGATGGTCATTAAGTGCCTGGCTTGGGATCCCAAAAAGAGGCCAACTGTTGCTGCGCTACTCTCCCAAAAATTCTTCAAAACTGAATTTCGCCAAGATGATTCCGCATATTTCTACGATCATGTGAAGAACTACCTCACCTAAGGTGAGCATGCCGGCATCCGAAAATAAATACTTAGAACTACATGTTTACTTTATGGGTTAGTAAACGCTGTTTATTAAAACAGGTTTCACTAACCCGTTGTTTAATAAGCGGTGTTTGTTAAATGTATGCTTATTTCACGAGAATGATTAAACTTTAAAATGTTTCTTACAAGTTTCTAGAAAAAAAAATGTTTTTTACCGGTGGGCGTAGCTCAACTGGTAGCGAGGGAGTGCCACAAGGGTTAGGTCTCGGGTTCGAATCCCGGCAACTGCGATGAGGGGTTACTATGCTGAAAAATGCATAGGACTTCTACAAGTACCGGGGACAGAGCCTCACTCTCTATCTGTCAGATTGTGATTATAGTCCAATTTACATCCTCCCATCGTGCCGTCCGGTCGGTGTTGGGGGACCCTTGGGGATGGGGTGTCATCCTTCTTACAAGTTTCTAGGGTTTTACCTATCCTCACTACCCATTCCCAGGATAGGGGTAGGTTGGGGTAGGAGGTAAGGCTGGCAGGGTGTAGTAAGGCATAGTATGGGGTATGGGGGAAGGGGTGAGGTAGGTTAAGGGGTATGTGTGGGGTATAGTGTGGAAGGCAGGTGGGGGCATAGGGTGTGGGGTGTTTGCCTAGGGTAAAGGAGTAGGTCTGGGTAATGGGTGAGGTAGCTAGGAGTAGGTATGGGTAATAGGTGAGGTAGCTAGGAGTAGGAGTAGGCAGTGCGGACAAGGGTGGGGTGGGGTAGGTAGGATGGGGGTTAGAGCAGGTTGGATAAGGAGGGGTTAGAATGGGTTAGATAAGGTAGGGGGTTGGGGTTATGGGTGTTGGGGTAGGTGCATAGATGCTCGTGCGATATGCCTTGTTCTAAAAATCTCTCTAGGCGCCTGACTATTTCTGGCTTAGGTGCTAGGAGGTGACCGGATGCCTCGATTTTTGCCTAGTCGCTCCGACTAATTGGTTAGGCACTAGGCGCTTGACTGGCGTCCAATCGGTGCCTAGCTCCTTTTAAAACATTGGCGATATGTATATCTGTCAATACAAAAATGCTTACTACACTTTTTTGGGGTTATGGGTGTTTGAGTGTTTTTTTTTAAGCTTTTTTTGGAAGATTTTTTTTTAAAAAAACAGTTGATACGGAAATTCATCAGGATACGAGTATCCGGAATTTTAAAATAATTACCAAAAAATGAAAACTTTTGAAAATTGCATATACGACTCGGGAACGTACGGTACGGGTATCCTAGAGTATCGGATACGAGAACGTTTCCGATACGCCGATACGACACCCTAATGAAAGTATCCGTGCTTCATAGCTAAGAACCATTGTATGACATAAAAGAAGTTTACTAAGTAGACAGTTACCTAAAAAAGTTGTCTACGTAACTTTTGTTAATAAGTTGACAGTAAGGATGTTTTGTTTTGGACTATTTTCAGTCCTAGACCAGACCAGACCAGACCAGGACAGTTATAAAATACAAAGAGACCAGACGTTTACCAGACCAGACCAGTTCAGACCAGACCAGACCAAACTTAAACAGACCAGACCAGACCAGCAAATTTCAGTCCAAAAAAAAACATCCTAAAACTAAGAAGTGAACGTATTCTTAATATTTGTTAAATTCACCTCTTTTTCCTCTCCATCCGTTCTTTTTCTTTACTTTATTTTAAAACTAGTATACTAATCGTGTATACGTATTACATATTCTTGTGTTTATGTTCTGTTTAAATGTAAAAAAAATAAATAGAAAATGTCACATTGTTGAAAAAAGTGAGTACAATAAATTGTACCATAAAGTGTAAGTAAAAAGAATAAATATTAGAATAAATATTAAAAGTCAAAGAATAAGTGGCATCATCAATTAGAATTTGCGACTTGATGTTTTTACTTGGACGGTAGTTCTAGATCGGATCAGACCATATCAGATCCGACTAGACTTGGATAGTTATAAAGTACACAAAGAATCTCATTTTTAGTGAAAAAATGTGTTTAGTTTTAATCATTTCTTTATATGTATGATCATAGAGTGAGAGAATCTAGGGCTGTTATGAGTGTAGTAGGGAAATGGATGTTTATCATGATTATTATTTTATAATAGTGTAGATGATTTCCATTCAAAAAAATAGAAGAGTACTAAATTGGAATTGAAAGAAATCACTACTAAGTGTGGAGTGTAGTCGGGCAGGTCGTAAGCATATGTGCCTTGTACAAAAACAAAAATGAACCTTCTTCCAATACAATCTGAAGTAATACACGTAGTATAAATAAAGTTGATACAGTTACTCAGATGTTATGAGATTAACGAAAACAGCCGCAACGAAGAATGAAAATACCCTAGCCGGCCTAGCGGAAATGCTGCCCTTCACATCGATCGTAGGAGGGTTGGCAATCGGCATCTCTAGTATGGAGTATATAGGAGTCATAATAACCACTGAACATGTTGGTCCAATGGTCTAGTGTGGGAATTGAAGTCAGCACCATGCTTTCAGGTATTATTTAAAACATATATGGAGTATATATATCACAGTATCTAATAGTCCGTATATTATAAACCACAATGTATCATCTCAGTTATGTTAATTTACGTGTTCTTAATTTTTATTTCAGGAAGCACATTCGCTTTATTTATCCCTTTATGTTTTTATTAAATCACAGACTACCTAATGACGAATGGTATCATTAATTGTGTCACTTTGTAGGTTGTAATAATGCACCCCCCTTGATATATAAAAATCATACGGAGTAGTATGAAATGTAGTCATCTTATCGACTGACAACCTAATACTACGTACTTGCATTTTTCTCATGATCTTGACAATCGCTCTCTCTTGGTAACCTTTTTGTTGATAGCCGCAACCATGCACCAGCCTCAATTGTATCGTCCACTTTGTCTTCAAAATCTTCAATTGTATCGTCCACTTTGCCTCAATAGTAAGCTCTTGGATATTATTCAAAATCTTCACAACTTCAAAACATAATGAAACAGTGAATTAGAAATATCAAATATTGGCTATGAACAAATCAACATACGAAAAGGCATAACCGCATAAGTTGAGAAAGGAAATATGGAATTGAAGTTCATACACATTTTTCAGTATTTTGATATGTTATTTAATTCAACTTTGTTCCTGGTATACATAAATGTCGTGGTCTATTTGTTTGCGGAAACTGGTGGGATAAACTCTATAATGCAACCTTTGTTATGTGATCAGGGAATTGTAAGAATATAATACGGTTAATGGAAACTGCCAGAAAGATAGATTGACACGCTTTCTTATCCGAGAAATCCCAGGATTCGATATATTCGTGTCATTGTAATTACTACGTATTTTTCAATAGGCGCCCTGTATTTCTCCAAATTTAGATTCTATGGTACCCAAAAGATACCATAACTTTGTCCACATGGACCAATCAAAATGATACAGTTGAATTATTTAAATCTAAATTAAAAAGAGTATAATGATTTGGACCAATCAAATACATGGTAGGTACGGTACCCCCATTTTTTAAATGGATACCGGAGTTGTCATCTTCTCCAAAAACATTTGTTAGTGTCCATCTTATCAGTAAATGTCACGTGTCATGTAAATGTTCCAAGGCGGGAACAGTTATTCTTCAAGTTTCCTCTTAAAAGTGTATTTAATACTCGTATTATGGTATGGAGGCCCAAGGCCCACATGGTTGAATTGTTGCAACTCTTTGGTTGTAGTCTTGTTTGTGCTTTGGTTTCCCTTTTTATATTAATGTAGATAGCACATTAAAAAACTTCTTTTATACTAAAATACTCCGTAAGAAATTAGTATGTGGAGGAATTGGTGATAGAGAAACAAAATATTAAAACTTAAATCCTAAACTAACCCAACCCGCCATCCAACATTCAAAACTAATGTTTGCAATATTCACAATATCAACTTGATCTCAAATGAATTTGTGTAGAATTGTAGAAATGTGAACTTTAATCATTCTCTCATAACGGTGTAATACTTGTATAATAAAAGGTTCGAATGTGAACTTAAGTAATTATCTCAAAACGGTGTAACAAAAGGTTCAAGTTCATAAAATGAGTTTTTTTTCCAAAAAATAATGCTAAATAAAAAATTATTTACGAAATTGATGTCAGATTAAAAATATTTCTCAAAATATTGTTGGAATAATCCCAGTTAAGGAGAACCGTCAATCCAATCGGCGGCTTATGCAAAATAGTCGACATACCGACAACGTACGGTGATCAAGCAAAAGAGAATAATAATAGTCATGGTCTCACATAGTCACATGCATGAAATTCCCTATAATACGGAGTAACTAGTTTTTATATACCCACTATAAAAAACGTTATGCATTTTGATATATTTTGTTATAACAATCAGAATACAAATAAAAACGTTATACTCCCTCCGTCCCAAAATGATGATCCTGTATTTCCCTTTTGGGATGTTCCAAAATGATGGTCGTATTTCCCTTTTCGGTAAAGAACTAAAAGTGGATTACCATTTATACCCCTCCTTTTTAATGAAAAGTAAAAGTAAAAGGATGAACAATACAATAAAGTAAAGTTCTTTAGTCTTTCTACCACACTTTTTTAATCTTTGTGCCAAGAAGAAACAAGACCATCAAATTGGGACGGAGGAAGTAGCATTTTAAAAAGTTTATGTTAAGTGCTAAATTAATTTTTTTTGTTTTTATATATTCAATATTGATTTCCATCATTTGCAATGGAGTAAGAGATTCACTATTTTTTGACTTGAGAATATGATTGAATAAAACAAAATGACTCACTAAACTGGTTGCGTGTCTTTGTTATGAATCAGCAATCAATTAATGCAATTTTCTGTAAGGTGTTAGAGACTATATAACCAAGCTCATTCCGTCGAATTTTTTTGGGTCCTTTTAGTATATGGGCCGCGCGCGTCCTATTATTGTTAGGGGTTAGGTTTTACTCTCTATAAATACAAGCTCTCTCCTTGTAATCATGATCAGGAAATAATAGTAACATCCTGACTTGGTAGCGCCCCCAGACGTAGTCCTTTGTGGCGAACTGGGTTACCAAATTTCGTGTGTTCTTTCTTATTGTTCTTCGTATTGCGTTAGTTAAAACGTAACAATTGGTATCACAGCCCTAGGTTTGGAGGGTGATTTCAATACGATGACATATTTGAAGACACCGTTGGTGCAATTCGATGGAACGGATTTTGGATTCTGGAAGTTGCATA